CTGGTCAGATAAAGGCTGACTGCTATTGGGAAAATTTGTATTGCTGATGTTATCTGATTAGATAAAATCTACTGACTGAGACAAAAATAAAGCTCCAAGCTTTTGACTGGGATTTAGGCCATCACAATATATGCTTTGTGCTCATAAAAAGTTGCGCAGTGTAAACACACTTTTTTCATGGTCCCCCTCTAATCAATTAAGATCTAAAATAGAAACGATTTCAACTATTTCATTCATCGGATGATTGATTGATTAATGTGTCCCATCCCATCCCCTCAATTTCTCCCTTAAGTTGCCAGGATGCTTAAATCAAATATAGCAGATTTGCTCTTAAAATCAAGAAGCATCTTACAATTGTAATTGTAATTGTGCGCTGTGACAGTTCCTATCATTGATGGAGAAAAGCATAAGGCAGTAAGGCATTTAATGACCTGACAGAGCAGAAGGACCATAAAAGCCAGTACTGGTTTGGGTGTAATGATCTACTTTCTGTTTGTATTTATTTGTTTGTTTTGATATCCCATCAGATTATATGATGAGATAGAAACACACAGAGATAGATGTGATTCCACTAATTACAGTGTAACGGCTCTTTACAGGAGAGCAGTCCCCAAAAGGACAGGAAAATAAATTTGAAAACAGAGACTAAAACATGCTTGGACTACTCTGTGGAGGACAAGAGTAAATTGAATATGCTGAGAGAGATTCCTAGCCCCAGACCTCAGCTTCTGGCCCTACATCAGCTGTTTTTAGCCTCTAGCACAGTTTTGAGTGTGTCCCTGGTGAGCTGGGTCAGCCTGCTCATGTCCCTGCCCAGCAGCCAGCTGGGTTGTTTGTCCCAGTATGGCCCAAGCACTGAGCACTGGTCCATGAGCCAGGCCTGGGCAGCCCAGCTCTGCCCTGTGTGTCACAGGACATCATGAAGGCAGAAAGAGCCTCAGCTGGGCCTCAAAGAGGACCAACAGCCAGTCTTCCAGCTCCTAAGGAAATATAGCTTTAGTGAGGACAATGAAGATTCATTTGAAGGTTTGGGGGCTTTTTGTTTGGTGGGTTTTTTTTTGTTTTTCCAAATTTTTTGCTACTGTTGTTTGCCAGCAGTGACACTCATTCTAGGCTGCACAAACCACCTGTGGGCAGTCACAGTCACTACTGAGGGATTCTTACATCTTGACCCCATGTTTTCCTTATTCTTTGAAACCTGTCATGTGAGAACTGCCTGGTCTACACCAGAAGCCACCCTGGGGGAAAAAAGTCTCCTTCCTGTTAGTTTCCCCTTACTCCTTGCTGTAACTTTGGACTGTGTTTTTCAGAAACTGGATTTAGCCCAGAGACACAATGTTCTTTTTTTGTGCTTGCAGGATAATTAGAAGCAGCCAGGATTTAAGCTCACCTGGAAAAGATCAAAGTGATAATAGGAAAGGAGTCTTAGGAATGACAGTCAAAGACAAACAGAGCTCTGTACAGTCCTTTTTAAAGGTCTCACCTTTTTATAAATCTCATCAGTGCTGTCATGCCTGTGAAACAGTTGTCAGGCATAAAACAGTAGTAATGGTTTAGTAGCCTGAAGTCAGCAAAGATGAGTAATGGTGATCAGCCACAGGGGGAATGGCATGGTTATCACTCCTGCACTTCTGGGACCAAATCTGGGCACATTATTTATTAGAGAACTATTAAAAAAGTATGGAAACGGATTCCTGAATATGTGGAGCCAAATGGAACAAATTATAAAAGATGTTTGCTTTTTCAAGTATGTTTTTTTTGTACATGCACTTTAAAAAAGCAATCAAAAGATAACAAGCTGCAAGTGTCCGGTGACAAAAGGACCATAAATATAATACAAAGAGAGATAAAATCTGCCCAGCTTTTAGGTGAAATTAGAAACCACTCCAGACTTTCCTGGAATGGAGATGTTTGAATTTATTTGAAATAGGATTTAGATCTGAATGAATTTGAGTTTGCTCTTGGTGGTGGGGGAGAAAAATGTGAAAATTTCACTCACTAGTACAGCTGACAAAACTCTGGACTGTCAAATCTGTGATGCAATGAAGACCTACCAAGTAAAGAAGGTAGAAAAGGAGCTGGTGGCCTTCCTGAAACCATTCCTGTGGGAGGCTCTTGGTGAGGGACCTGTTCCATCAATTCCCAGCATGGCAGGAGCATCCTAGGGCTCACCTGCATATACATCCTAGATCAAGTGCTTATCCACTGATTATCCTTACACTAGATAGTCCCAACCCAACCAAGGAAGAACAGCTGTCACACAGGCTGAGCTGATGAAAGATGTATAGAGTGGAAGCTGGCAACTGACACACTCCATGCAGTGCATCTAGAAGAACATGCACCTGATTTCTGAATCCATAAAGACCTGCAGTCAGACACCAAGGGACTGCCAAAAGAGAAATCCCCATGCAGGTTGTATTTTTAAATTGTCTTCCTACCCAGCTCTTTCCAGAGAGAAAGCCAGCTATGCCTTTATTTAGCACATTATTCTGTCAAGTAAAACAGCTACGGTCAGCTCTGTTTTCTTCGCAGTGCAATACCAAACCTTTTTCTTGCACTCATACCCACTAACCCTGGAAGCATTGGTTATTTTGGATAGGAGGCACTCTCCTCTTCCGTTATAGCTCTTTCAACTGAGTGAATAATGTTCAAGATTCTCTAAATCATGTTTCAGCCTAATGAGGGGTTGGGGGATGCTTTGTATGGGGCCAAGGGAGGGAAGGGAGAAGATCTGTTCTGGGCTGCTTCTGTGTTCTCATTATGCATGTGTTCAACCCAGAAACCATCCTTAGAGAACACTGTGGAGGTCCTTCTACCCCTGTCCTCTAGTTCCTGTCTTTTACCACCGTACTCAGCTTCTGAAAGTTCTTGCATAATGACACAGCATCACAAGGAAGCTAGAGACAGCCAAAATTAGCCATTGCCAGTTAATAGGAAGACACATCTCATTCACCCTTGGGCAGAGATATGATGGACTGAACTCTCCCATGACCTGTGTGAATGCTCCCAGTCATGGAATTAAAGAAATACAGCAGCAGCTCACTGCTCCATTTTACAATGCTGTTGTGCTTTATGCTAGGTTAGAGCTAGAAGCCTGCCTACTGACAACACCTATGCCATGTGTTAGCCAGGTTAGATGATGGCCAGTCAGCCCTGCCAGACTGGGGCACTGCAAGGTGTCTGCAAAGCACTTTGTGCTCAAGATCTCAAGTACTGAACTCCAGGGTGGAACTGCTGAAATCCCACAAGCTGGACTCTTCAAAGGCCAGGTGCAGATGCAGTTTTGTCTTATCAAGTCCCACCTCCAACACGTTTGTGCCTCTTAGGGACTTTGTACCCTGCAGATCTATTTTTCCCCCATAAAAAAAAAAAAGAGTGTAGTAATCCTCGTCTGCCTCGGGCCAAGAAAATGAATGAGTGCTAAGTTACTGAAAAATTCTGAAAAAATTCGAAGTGAAACCCTGCTGCCAAAACATTCTCCTAGAGCTGGAAAACCTTATTTCTTGGCAGCTTAAAGGGACAGTGGAAAGAGGGGCGGTTGACGGTGGGAAGAGAGGGTGAAGACTGACCCTTGGAGTGCCCTGGGCTGTGATGGACTCTCCCACAGTCCGATCCCGTGTCCCAATGCCACCACCAGCGCTCCAGGGCGGAACAGCCTTGCACGGAAATGCAGCTGGGATGAGCTTCCGTGTTCCCCATTCCCCGCGTTATTCCCACATACACACTGGGCTCCTGGAGCGGGAGAGCATCCTCCACCTGGCGGGAATGGCTGCAGTGCAGGTCCGGGGGGAGAAGCACCACCCCAGGGGGAGCAGGAAGAAGTGATGTGGCTGAGCTGCTCACTCATGCAAGGTGAGAGTAAGCAAACAGCAGAGCCAGGGCCAGGGAGTGGGGGCGGGGGGGGGGGGGGGGGGGGGGCGGAGGGGTTAAGACTAGAGGGAAGTGGTGAGTGGTGATTATGTGGATATGGAAAAAAAAAAAAAGGTAGAATCATCAGGGAAGAAACACTGGAAGGTAAATTCCCCAGCAGAATGGAAACCCTCCCTGGCTTTCCAAGATCAGCTGCTGGATACAGAACTCTAGGGCCCCAATAAAACAAGGAAGGTGTTATGAGTAGAAAAGCTGCCCATTTTTTTAAAAGGTTGCAGAGTTCACAGGTTGGGCTAGTTGCTGCCAGGGTGGAGCTCTAACTGTTTGTTGTTGAAATCACCTGTCATTTTCGTTAACTACCTGTTGTTGATGGTTGGGGAATCCCCCTTTTGTCAGTGGCACCCTGCCGCTTCCTGGAGGATGGCACCCAGATGGTGAAGAGGAGGGGACATCGGGGTTGGCATGTAAATGACATTGGGGCGGGCAGGCAGATGAAGAAATCCCTCACCAAACCTAGCAAAAACCCCTAAAAACAAGGAGCCAACATGGAATTGACGGATTGAAGTGATGTCTGGACGTGAGGAACAGAATCCAGTGTCCGCTAATACCCTTTTTACCCCTCACCATGACCTAAAAAGATGTTGGCTGGACAGAGGACCTCGAATGTCAAACTGAAAAAGTGGGAATCTCCTGATACTCTCTTGAGGACGGAAGCCCCAGCTCTGCCTGCAGACCAGCGGACAAAGCTGCACTTTTCCTCCTCCTCCGTGCCACTCCTGGAAGCAGCAGCAGCAGCGTGAGTGTGACCCGTTGGTTCTTCCCACTTGAGCTGATTTTTTAATAAAGGCATTAAAAAGGAGAAAGATGTCCTGCCCTATTTATTTCAGCTGGGAGCTCGTCTGAGATATCCACACCTGAAGAGGACACCAGGACTGGGACAGCCACCCACACTGGGCCTCCAGGACAGCTGGCTATCAGGAGCAAAGAAGATTGACTTGGGACCAGTGACGTGGAGGAGCGCTGGACTGGTGAGAGGATCCGGTGGCGAGGGTAGGTGTGAGTGAGTGGAGTGTGAGTGAGACAAGAGCTGGCAGCTCAGACCCTTGGCAGGAGTGGCGACCCCCTAGTACCACGGTTTCGGACCCCCGTGAGGGGGCCGGCCGGAACCAGCGGGAAGCAAGTCGATTGGTGGTTGAGGCGCCTCCTAAGGGGTAGAGAGGACCCCCTCTGGGCATGCAGAGGAAATAGTGTGTGAGTGGCATGCAACCCAAAAGTCCTGACAGGGGGAAGTCAGGCAAATTGCAAGTCCTGAGAAGGATTCGGAGCAAGCCCACGAGTCCTGCAGGCAAATTAAGTCCTGACAAAGGAGATCAGGCACAAGTCTCAGCAGAGGAGGCTGGGATCTCTAGTTTTTAAAGTCCTGATACGTAAGTCCTAGCATTAGGGAAGTTAGGCAAACTAGAAATCAGGCAGTTCTTTTCTTATAAAGTCCTGAAGAAAGGGGTCAGACAAATCTGAGGTTCGGTGGAGGAGGCTGGGACTCCTCAAATAGGATTTTTCTTGAGTTACCTGTTGGTGCCTTTCTTTTTGAGTAGAGGCACCTTTGTGATTTTTTTTCTGGTGAGACCCAGAAAAATGGGAGGATGTAATCATAAGTGAGGCTAGAGACTGAGGAATATACCCCTCCATAGTCCCTTAGGTGAACTGCTAGAGAGATGGGATTCTATAGAGGCCACGGAGGGATTAGATAAGGTTAAGATGATTCATTACTGTGTAGAAGTCCGGCCACAGTTAGATGTGCAAGGAGGATGGCTGTGGTGTGGGACGAAAGACAAGGGGATGTGTCAACAACTGAGTCACTATCTGATAGCTCAAGAGGATACCGATCCTGAGCAAGTATTATATGTAGCTTGTTGGTTAAAGAATGCTATTGGGGATGAAAATGTGCAATTTTGTAAGGTGCAGAGGAAGAACGAGGGGAACGAAAGAGGCGATGCTAGAGTTAGAGAGATTAGTAAAAGGGACCCCCTGGACTATTTGCCTCCTGATGTCCCTCCACCTTATCATCCTCTTCCTTGGGCACCTCAAATGGCAGATCCGGCTTTTTCCCTGGCTGCCATCCCATTACCGCCTCCTCTAATTCCTTCTTCTACCTCTTTGACTTCCTCTGTGATAGACCCGGTATCTCCCCTGGTGGCCATTCTCTCACCACGCCCTTCAGCTCCTCCAGTTGCTTCTACACCACCATGAGTGCCTACTCCACCTGTTGCACTCTCCACCCCTTCTCCAGCTCCACTTAACATGCACTCAGGTTTTTTGCCCCCTCCTATTGCTCTCCTTTTACCTCCTCCTAGTTGGGACAAAAATGCCTCCTTACCTGGTAAACTCTTATCACCAGATACAGCTGTTGACCTACAGAAAGTCCAGGTTAATGCTAATATCCCTCAAATGAGTAATTTTGTGTCTGAGGATGGACCATACTGCAGTACCCAATCCAAAACCTCCAAGGTGGAGAGACTTTTTCCTCTCAGAGAAGTTCCTATGGGAGGCGTAGTGGGAGGTATTGGCTTTGTGAACGCTCCTCTAACCACTTCTGTGGTGAGAGGATTCAAGAAGGAGTTAGGGCATTTAGTTGAGGACCCAGTGGGCATGGCCAACCAAGTGGATCTATTCTTAGGTCTGTCCTGGGTTAACTATATGATGCTTTTATCTCCAATTGTCTCATTTTGTTTATGCTGAATAACAAGTTTTGCACCTTTAAGACTTGTTGCAGAGAGTGAAAGAGGGAGAGAAGAAGTGCACAGTTTTTTTCAGACACTGCACTCACTCCTCCACATTCCTGCTCCTGGGCTGTGTTGTCTGCGGATGGACAGACCGCGGGACAGAGCTTTTTTTGTTTTTAGTTAGTTTAGCTAGCTAAAGCAAAGTTCCCTAGACTGTAGGTTTTTTCCCTTTTCTTTAAACCTCTTAAAACCTGCTCTGGACTGAACACCCAGCAGAGCACCAGCAGCTTGGCCCACCAAGCCAAGCCTGACCTGCCACATTTCTAGCACCAGAGAGACTGATAAGAGACTGAGTGAGCTGAGCTGCAACCCGAAGACGGGTTTTTCTCAATTTGTCATCTCTTTTAGAGCAGCAAAGAGTTTTATTGTTTAATATTGTTTAAGTTTTATTGTTTAATAAACAATTTTTTTCCACTTTTCTCCAAGGAGATATTTTCTCCCGGACCAGTTGGGGGGAGGGGCCGAATGAATTTGCTTTCCTACCGGAGCCCCTTTAGAGATTCTCTCCCAGATTTGCTCTAAAGCAAGACAAGGTCCAAATATCTACACTTGGGGGGAGATGAATTCCATTTCAAATATATTATTTTCCCCAGAAGAGGTCTGGATGATTAGAGCTGCTGGCATAAGAATTTGGGAAAAAGATAACCGTCCAGGACCCCAAGTGCCATCAGGTGAACAGAAATTGCCACTAATGGATCCCAATTGGAACCCAAATCAGGAGGAAGGGAGGAAGGCCATGATAGAATATAAGTATTTGATAGTTCAGGGGATCAAAGAGTCAGTTCTCAAAAGAACTAATACCAAATTGGCATTCGAGGGTGCACAAGAGAAGGACAAAACTCCTGCTACTTGGCTTAATCACCTAAAGTGGAACTTCCAGTTGTACTTCAAAATAGACCCAGACACCACAGAAGGTCAAGTGCTACTAAAGGTCCTATTTGTTACCAAATATTGGCAAGATTCCTTAATTCCTTAATTAAGATTCCTTAATTCCTTAATTCCTCCCCTTCTAATTTTTGCAATTTTCTCCTGATATCGTCCTGTGACTGGCCCAAGAATATGAGAGCGAGCTGAACCTTTGCTTGTTCTGTGTCTATTTGGAGATCTGTATATTTCCTTGCTACCTCCTTAAGCCTCTCCAAAAATGCAGTGGGAGATTCTTTCTTTTCCTGTCGAACGTCATATAGTTTAGACCAATTCATAGTTTTGGGCACAGCATTCTGAACTCAGATTTGGATCCACTCCTGATATCTCTGTAGTCTCCTCACACCCCAAGATAAATTAGGGTCCCATTTTGGATCCTCAATTGGAAAATTTTCATCTAGAGTTCCTGTTACGAGCCCATTTCTGATATCCTCCCTTGCCCTTTCTTTGGCTGCCTTAAGTACCATCTCTTTCTCAGTAGAATCCATCAAAGTATCTAATATTACTTGTATGTCATCCCAGTCAGGATTCTGAGTTTTTATAACCATTTTTACTTGTGCCACCTTATCAGGATTTTCTCTATATGTTCCGGCTGATTGTTTCCAAATAACTAAATCTGCAGGAGAAAAAAGGCACTTTTACAAACACTGGCCCTTCCACTCCTACACCTTGTCACAAGGGAGCGATCACAGTTCACTTTTGTCTGCCCATGGCTGAGGCAAGCTTTGACCGACTTTGAGTTCTGTGAGATACTGGTGTCACTGATTCCTTACTATTGCTATCTTTTTCACTTGCATCCCTCCCCCTCCTTTCTATCACAGTTAGGATTTGCTCATCTTCCGAGGAAGAGGGATCAGGTGACGGTGGGAAAGGAGGATAAAGAGAGAAGGGTGTACTAGACAAGACAGGTTCAGGATTAGGTGAGGTAGGGGCAGACGGTGGGATAGGGACAGGTGAAGCAGGTGGGATAGGGCTAGGTTCTCTTGGTCTTATTGGAGCTACCTGTAAATCAATATCTGTATAATTTTCCCTACTCAGACTTTCTTTCAACGTCAAGTGTTCTAGACAAGGTTTCTCACAAACCCCACACTTATCACTTGCAGATTCTCTAATCACCATTAATCCACATTCATCCTGCCATTCTGGCTTTCCCTGTAAAGAGAAAAACAAATCAACATACAGAACCTCATCCCATTTTCCTTCTTGCTTACAAAACAACATTAACTGCGAAATGGTGTTATATTGCAAAGTCCCCTACTTTGGCCATTTTTTGCCATTCTCCAAGACATATTCTGGCTACCGTGTATTACAATAATCAATCAACTTAGCCTTACATAATTCTTCCCCAAAATTACCCTGTTTCCAATGTGCTAATAAGCACCCCAAAGGAGAAGTTTGCAGAATGGAGGCATTGCTGCCCAAAATCCCTTTGAGCTTCTCCATCCAAATACACCACAAATGCTGAATCTGCAATGCTTTTCACGATTGTCTTACGGAACGGCACCTAGCCAATACCTGCAGGAATTCCTTTTGCCCAACCAAGCGTAGCTTTCGCTGTCTTATTGGCAGGCAACCAAACCAAAGTAAAAGCACCTTACCTCTCTCCCGGGGACGTTGTGAGCGGCAGAGGCAGGTCGCAGCCGATGGGCTCCCCGAGAATCCCTTGGTGCCGGCTGGAGCATGATCGAGTCGCGAACTTGCCCAGCAGCAACCACAGGGTCCCATCTGGGGTCGCCAGAATGTTAGCATTAAGAAACACATAATCACAAGAATGATTATATGTAGGTGCTTTTATTGAAGAGATCTGGGTGTCAGGGGTATGAACCCAAATCTGACTCCAATACAGGTTCGGGATGAAAATGTTTTTATATTCTATCGTTATATAACTTTCATGTTAATTATTAAACTTATATTGTTCTATTGTATACATAGATTTCAGCCAAGCATGGCTCCTCGTGGCCCCCCTTAAATTTCTAACATAGTTTCTCATGATTCTTCTTATGATTATACAATAATTATATTTAATTACTAAACAATCATCACATCTAACAATTATATCATTTATCATACTGCTTATGCAGGTGTGATTTCACATGATCTGGCAAAACACAAAGCCTAACATTTTCAGAGTCTATCTTTAACATTTTCCAGGGCCCCACTATCACCCTCAGCCTGGTTTTCTGGGCCTGACTCTCTCCCATGGAATCATGGAATAGTTTGGGTTGAAGGGACCATAAAGATCATCTAGTTTCAACACCCCTGCCATGGGCGTGGACACCTTCCATAAGACCAAGATGCTCAAAGCCCCATCTAGCCTGGCCTTGAAGAGGTATCCACAACTTCTCTGGGAAACCTGTTGCAATGTCTCACCACCTTCACAGTGAAGAATTTCTTCCCAACATCTAATCCAAATCTAATCTAAATTCTGTCAGTTTAAAGTCATTCACCTTTGTCCTATCAACTACATCCTTTGTAAAAAATCCTTCTCCTGCCCTTGTGGGCACCCTTTAAGTACTGGAAGGCGCTCTGAGGTCTCCTTGGAGCCATCTCTTCTCCAGACTAAACAACTCCACCTGTCTCAGCCTGTCTTTACAGGAGAGATGCTCCAGCCCTCTAAGAATCTTTGTGAACCTCTTCTGGAGCTGCTCCAACACTTCCCTTCTGAAATAAATAGGGCAGGACATCTTTCTCCTTTTTAATGCCTTTATTAAAAAATCAGCTCAAGTGGGAAGAACCAACGGGTCACACTCACGCTGCTGCTGCTTCCAGGAGTGGCACGGAGGAGGAGGAAAAGTGCAGCTTTGTCCGCTGGTCTGCAGGCAGAGCTGGGGCTTCCGTCCTCAAGAGAGTATCAGGAGATTCCCACTTTTTCAGTTTGACATTCGAGGTCCTCTGTCCAGCCAACATCTTTTTAGGTCATGGTGAGGGGTAAAAAGGGTATTAGCGGACACTGGATTCTGTTCCTCACGTCCAGACATCACTTCAATCCGTCAATTCCATGTTGGCTCCTTGTTTTTAGGGGTTTTTGCTAGGTTTGGTGAGGGATTTCTTCATCTGCCTGCCCGCCCCAATGTCATTTACATGCCAACCCCGATGTCCCCTCCTCTTCACCATCTGGGTGCCATCCTCCAGGAAGCGGCAGGGTGCCACTGACAAAAGGGGGATTCCCCAACCATCAACAACAGGTAGTTAACGAAAATGACAGGTGATTTCAACAACAAACAGTTAGAGCTCCACCCTGGCAGCAACTAGCCCAACCTGTGAACTCTGCAACCTTTTAAAAAAATGGGCAGCTTTTCTACTCATAACTGCCCTTCCTCTTTTTCTTTGATCGGGCTTAAACTTAAGCTCGCATTCAACTTGCAATTTCTGACTCATGAGCATAGAATTTCTTTAATTTTTTTTACTGATTATAAATTTCTTCAGCACTCTGGTAATCCTGGTTACTTAACTTTATTACTTTTTCTGGTTTCTTCAGGTTAATTTCTTTAGAGATCTTTAGGTTGTTCTGCACAGCAGATGTTACCATTTTAATTAAGCAGGGAAAAAAGGATGGTAAAAAGAGCAAGCCAGGAAGTATAAACATGGTGAGGAAAGCTACCTTTTTCCACCCATCTCTTTTGAAAGTCCATAGGTTATCCCACCAACTGGAATCAAGTGTAGGACCACCAACTGGAATCAAGTGTAGGAGTCTGTTCTTGATTACTTACATATACTAGTTTTCTTATTTTGTTTAAGATGTTTCTAATGATTGCACTCTTCATCTCTAATACTGCCTGAAGCCTGATGATTCTGTTTAACATGGATATTGGGGTCCGTTAACCCCAGGACCCATCTTGAGCCCAGGTGGCTGGGCCATAAGTCTCGGTAATTTTTCTTGGGGTCCGAACCTGGCTCTTACAATTTTGGATTCTTCCAATTTCTATTGCACTTCTCCTCCTCCGTTTGGTTTTTCTTAAATCATCGTATATAAGAACTCCTAAACTTGATCCAGATTCTTTGGGCAATAAAAAGAAAGCTGGTTTTATTATTCTAATGGTGCAACTGCCAGACCAGTTTCCTGGCAATTTAGTGTATGCTGTAGTACCACAGATCCAAAACAGGTGTTTAGGGGCCCCCTAAAATGTGTTCTTAGTTTCTGTTGAGCATTCCCAATATTTAGAAATTTCTTTCCTTCCCCAAAAGGGGTTTATCCCTTTTTCAGCACACTCATAAAGTTCATATACTTCATGGTGGATGCACTTGTTCCCTTCTTTCTTCTCAACAGACCAAAATTTATTTGGATCTCTTGGGATCCACGGGGTAGCAGAGTTCTTTACTGCTAAATACCTTTTACAAACCATTCTTCTTACTGGTGTACCATACCCCTTTTCTTAAAATACCTTTTTCTCTTATTATTCTTTCTTTCAGATCCCATTGTTCTTTTCCCTTCATCTCTGTAACAATAAATTCTGGGTTATTCTGTACCCAGTTTAAGATTTCCAATAGCCCTAGACTAATCCCTTCCCATGGCCAAATTTCGGTCATCTGGGTACTTCCACAAACCCAACAATTAGTTAGATACAATTTGTGGCTGATTTTTTTACTGAATTTATGAATAGATTCTTACCTTGGGGTATCTCTGAATGGTCTTGCTCTCTTATTGCTTTCACTATCTCTTTCTCTTTGACCAGGTCTACCAGGCTTGCTTCAGTAGCATTGTGTTCAAAGCACAGCCAGGCTTCTCCCTACAGGGCACTCTCCCAGGAGTCACTGCCTCTAAGTGGTGGTATTCCGGTCTATCCAATATATTTCCTCATCCTCTTGACAAAGGACCAGTTGGGAGAGGTTAACACTATTAGGGTTAAAATTGGTGTGGACTCTTGACAAGGAACTTAATTCTTTCTCCTCATAGAGGGGTTGGTATCACTTACTGCACGGCTCTCTTGGGTTCCCCAGAGCACCACCAGCAATGAAAGCCATCATTACTGCCTTTCCCAAGAGTCTTGTATGGGTCATCTTGCACAACCTGCCCACCCGGCCTTGCCTCTTGGGGACTTTACTAAGAAGAAGCCTCCAAGCTCTTTAGAATCTCTTCTATCCACTTCTCTGCTTAAACCTCTCTTGGTCTGTCTTTGTTAATTTAGTTTCTCCTAGGGGAATACTCTGTAGAAGATTGGTACCAAATTGGGGGAACTTAACCAGAATTATTTATTAACAGTCTTTAACCTTTTTGCAAACCTCTTTTAAACACAGAACTGTCTTAAAACACTTTAAGATATGGTATGGTTCTGATACCAAACTCTTTTCTTATTCAGTTCATCAGTCTTTTTGGCTCTTCCTTTTGAGAGTCAACTTTAAGTCTTTCGGTCCTTTTATAATGGTATACTCTGGTGAATTAACTCATGATGTGGTTGAATCCTGTCCTGAGTTAGGGGATGAGAGTGGGGTGGAATCTGGTCCAATGCCAGAGGGAGAAACTGACATTGAATCCTGTCCAGTGCCCGGGGGTAAGACTGGTCCTTTAATTCTTGTGATGTGGGTCCAACCCTTTTCTCTGGTCCACACAGCTGAATTAGTGATGAGGAGTACCTGAAAGGGGCCTTCAAATTTAGGCATTAATGGTCCACTATTCCAGGATTTTATCAAAACCCAATCTCCTGGATTAATGTTATGTACTTTCATGTCAAGAGGGGATGTTTGTGTTTGGGGGAGGTATCCTCTTTTTCTAAGTCCTTCCAGGGTTCTTCCAATGACTTCTGAGTATTTTCTGGTAGCTTCTTCTCCTTCCAAATAGTCTCCTGTGCTATAGGGTGTTAACAAGAATGGCAGTCCAAACATGATTTCATAGGGTGAAATCCCTATATCAGACTGGGGTCTTGTTCTGATGCGCAAAAGCACTAAGGGCAAACACTTTAGCCAATTCATTTTTGTTTCTTCAATCAATTTAGTTAATACATTTTTGAGAGTTTTGTTCATCTGCTCTACCCTCCCAGATCTCTGGGTGCTCCACGGAGTATGTAATCTCCATTTAATTCCTAAAGCTTTGATTATAGTTTGCAATGTTCGGGCCACAAAATGTGGACCTCGGTTTGAGTCTATGGTGTTCACCATTATCTGGGGATAATGTTCTCCAGGATTACTCTTGCCACAACCTGGGCTGTTTCCCTTTTTGTCGGGAAGGCTTCCACCCAATGGGTGAGATGATCTACTATAACTAGTAAATATTTGTATCCCTGCACTGGGGGCATCTCAGTGAAATCTATCTGTATGCCCTGGAAAAGTCTTAGAGCTAATTCTCTCCCTCCAGGTGCTACCTTTCTCATAACCTTCTGGTTTACTTTTTGACAAATTAAACACCCTTTTGTAATTGCTTTTGCCAGGCCATATACGCCTATGCAATGGTTATTTCTTAAGAAATGATCATGTAGTGTTTGGACACCTCAATTGGTTAATTTATGTAGTTCTGTTAGCACTGTCCGAGCAAGTGCTTTGTTTAAAAACACCTGCCAATCTGAGGTTAACCACTCCCCTCGTTGCCCTTGGTTTAACTTTAAATCTTTTATAACCTCCAATTCTTTTTCACTAAATATGGGTTCCTCACTTCTTTCTCTTCCCTCAGGTGTGGTTTCTGCTTTAAAAACTTTCATTGGATCCCCTGATTCTAAAGCTGCTTCCTTTGCTATCTGATCAGCCAGTTGGTTTCCTCTAACTTCAAGATTGTCTCCTTTGGTGCCCTTTTATATGGACCACTACTATTTCTGTTGGTTTCTGTAGAGATTCTAATACGGTTCTGACCAGGTTCTCACGGCCTAAGCTTTTTCCTTTTGAGCTTAGATATCCACACTCCTCCCATATTTTCCCAAATGTGTGAACTATCCCAAATGCATATTGGGAATTTGTATAAATAGTTTCCTGGTCTCCCTCCAGTAAGTCTAATCTTCTTTTCAGGGCATATATTTCACAACTTTGGGCTGACCAATTTGGGGGTAGTTTCCCTTTTTCCTCAATTTGTAAAGTTTCTCCATCTATGATGGCATAACCTGAAGCTCTTTTTCCATCTACTACCCCCGAAGAGCTATCTATGAACAAGGTTCTTCCAGTTGCTAGAGGCTGATCTTCTAAATCCTCACTTACTTTGGTTTGGAGGTTAATCAATTCAAGGCAATCATGTTCTAAATTCTCTGTAGGCTCTCCCATAAGGAATTGTGCTGGATTGAGGGCATTTGATGTGATGAATTCTATATCATCTGTGTTCATTTGTGTTATTTGATATTTTAATATTCTTGCATCGGTTAGCCACTGCTGATCCGTCTGGCTCAGCACTGTTTTAAGATTGTGAAGAGTATGTACTTTAATTTTTTCCTTGTAAGGTCGATTTTTGGGTTTCAGGCCAATATTTGGTAACAAATAGGACCTTTAGTAGTACTTGACCTTCTGTGGTGTCTGGGTCTATTTTGAAGTACAACTGGAAGTTCCACTTTAGGTGATTAAGCCAAGTAGCAGGAGTTTTGTCCTTCTCTTGTGCACCCTCGAATGCCAATTTGGTATTAGTTCTTTTGGGAACTGACTCTTTGATCCCCCGAACTATCAAATACTTATATTCTATCATGGCCTTCCTCCCTTCCTCCTGATTTGGGTTCCGATTGGGATCTGTTAGTGGCAATTTCTTGAGGTAGCCTGGAAGGTATATAATAATCACAAAAGAGAGGCTAGTAAAAGGCAGCAGCAAAATCTTTTGGCAGTAATACAAGGAAAGGGGAACCCAAATTTCAGGGGACGTGGCAGAGGTAGTTATGGTAGAAAACCAGTTATGCAAGGGTTAAGCCTAAATCAATGTGCATATTGCAAACAGGAGGGGCATTGAAAAAGATAGTGCCCAGACAACCCAAATAACCGGTTTCACCAGGGCAATCAGTTCCAGCAGGAAAATGTTGCCAAGGCAATGGTGTTAGGCGAATATAACATCTGACTAGATGCGGAACCTCTAAAACAGTTTCAAGAACCTGTCATAAATATACAGTTAGGTCATAAGGAGGTCAAATTTCTAGTGGATACCAGAGCTATATATTCTGTGCTGAATGATCTGCAAGGACAAATTCGGGACAAGCAAACAACAATAGTTGGGGCTACAGGGAAAGAGGAAAAATGGCCACTCTTGCAACCCCAATATTTGTGTTTTGGGAACAAGGTTTTAACGCATGAATTCCTATATGTACCTGAGTGTCCAATTCCGCTTTTAGGGAGGGATTTGCTAGTGAAAATTGATGTGGTAATAACCTTTGAAAACAGAGAACTTGTAATGAAAATACCTGAATCAAAGATGGGACAGATTTTAATGATCCAAGAAAAACCTGTTACCTCTATCCCTAGGGAGGTAGAAGATGCAGTGATTCCCTCTGTATGGGAAACGGATATACCAGGAAAATCTAAATTGGCACAACCAGTGCATGTAGAGTTAAAAGAAGGGGCGAGGGCTGTACAAGTCAAACAGTATCCCATAAAACCAGAAGCATGGCAAGGAATAGTAAAGATTATTGATAAGTACTTGAAATACCGAATTCTAGAAGAATGTGAATCACAATTTAATACACCAATATTTCCAGTAAAGAAACCAAATGGTGAATATAGATTAGTGCAGGATTTGAGAGCAATAAATAAAATAACAAAGGACATTTATCCAGTGGTAACAAATCCCTACACATTGCTGACATCCGTAAAAGAGATATGTGAATGGTTTACTGTAATTGATTTAAAAGATGCCTTTTTCTGCATACCCCTTGACAAAGAAAGTAGGAAACTGTTTGCCTTTGAGTGGGAAAACCCAGGGAATGGAAGAAAGACCCAGCTCACCTGAACATGACTTCCACAAGGCTACAAGAACTCACCGACCCTATTCGGAAACCAACTGGCAAAGAAGCTGGAGATTTGGACCGAGAATGGGCAAGTACCAAGAGACCAATACCTGTTGTTGCAGTATCTTGATGATATACTAATAGCTACAGAAGAAAAAGCAACCTGTATAAAGGTAACCATTGAGATTTTAAATTCACTGGGAATGGGAGGTTATAAAGTATCCAGAGAAAAGGCACAAATTGCTCAACAGACTGTGATCTACCTGGGATGTGAAATTTCACAAGGGCAACGAAAAGTAGGTACTAACCGTATCCAAGCTATTTGTGCAATTCCAGAGCCCCAGAATCTACATGAGCTGCGAGTCTTCCTCGGGATGGCAGGATGGTGTCGCCTGTGGATCACGGACTATGGACTGATTGCAAAACCCCTGTATGAAGCTCAGAAGACACAGCCATTCACCTGGGGCAAGCCACAGAAAGAAGCCTTCCTAAAATTAAAGGAAGCACTGACAACTGCTCCAGCATTAGGGTTACCTTATCTGTCTAAAGATTTTCAACTGTTTGTACATGAAAGGCTGCGCCTAGCACTAGGAGTCCTCACCCAACGTCTGGGAAGCTGGAAAAGGCCGGTGGGCTACTTTTCCAAACAACTTGACAACATAAGTGCCAGGTGGCCTTCATGTCTGCGGGCAGTCGCAGCCACTGTGATGGTGATACAAGAAGCCAGGAAGCTTCCTATGGGAAGGCACATAGATGTCTATGTACCAAACATGGTAACCACTGTCTTAGAACAGAAGGGGGGCCATTGGCTGTCTCCAAGCAGGATGATAAAATTCCACGTAGTCCTGACTGAGCAGGATGATGTCACATTAAAAACAACTAACCTTTTGAATCCAGCTTTGTTCCTAGGTACCACAACTGAAGAAGGCCCATTAGAGCATTACTGTGTAGAGGTAATAGAGTACACCTATTCAGCAAGAGAAGACCTGAAAGACGTCCCACTAGAGCAGCTAGGGTGGAAGCTATTTACAGATGGGAGCAGCTTCGTGGAAAACGGAACCAGATACGCTGGATATGTGGTAACAACAGTCAGTTCAGTAGTGGAGGCAAAAGCATTACCACCAAATA